AAAGGCTCATGTCAACTTGATCATGATAATAATCTAACTCTATAAATCACCTTAATTTCATAAAACAAATTAAGCTTTGATGGACTCCATCTTTTTACTTGGGGAAACCGACCGAGCCGCCTTCTTGCAACACACGATTCGAACATTCGGATGCACTTACTGTTGTCTTTGGTCTTACGTGCCTCCGCCTTCAAAGTGAGAGACATTCGCGTGCACGTACATTTTATTTAGTTTTTATTTTTATTTTTTTAATTCTGTTACGTTACATTCGCAGTTAATTTTTTCATTGTTCTTCAAATTAACAGATGCTTGCTATTTTCCAATGGAGTTTACCGAGAAGAGAGCAGTGTCGAGCAAGCAAGCTCCTCGTCCGGAACAAGCCTAGCAAGAACGCTTTTCGACGCGTATTGTGAATCTATATTCTATGTTGATCATGGGTATGTCCATATATGCACACAACAATGTAGTTTGGATAAATTGAGGAAACTTGTTAATTTTTGTTGTCCAAATTATATCGAAAAGTGTGTGTTTTTATTTTTTTACTTTTTTTTGGATGTTTCATCACTTTCAGACGAGTTCCGGGTTTCGCTTTCAAGAACCATCTTCCTTATCTTGAGATCAAGTTAGATGGTCTCGGAAGGCTAGCATCGAGCGATGTGCAGATGCAATTTTACCAGGTTTGATTTGTTTGCTTCTTGTTAAAAGTGTAAAGATGAAAAGCCATGTGAAGAAAAGTTATAGTCTTTATGACTAATGCATTGTGTTTTTAACCACACAGGAAGCTGGAATTCAGGTTTTGCTCTCTATTCAAAACATTAAGCTGTGTTTATTTTATTTCTAGAGTTTTGCATACATGATAGATACTGCTTAAAACTTTTATACGATTAACATCGTCCGGGAATCCGAATTTATCGATTCTTTTCTCAGTTTCGTCTTTTGATTCGAATAATATATGTAGACAGTAGTGTTTATGGGATGCACCCTTGGAGAGGTGGAGCTAGGAATAATGTCAAGTGAGCCTCAGGTAATTCCGAATATAGGTTAAAACATTTTTCTGACAATGTGTACGATACGTGTTTTTGAATATAGGTTAAAACATTTTTTGACAATGTGTACTATACGTGTTTTTGAATTTTACGCTTTTTAGTATTTTTTTGATAAAAATGCAACATTAACTTCATTAACATTCATAATTTACAACCTCTCGTACATATTTACCATAGGTAATTAAGAAAAACACATATGAGTACATGTTGCAAAAAATATTTTACCCGAATATATAATTGCCTACAATCTAACAATATACATATGTAGTCACATGTAGCTAATTAATACTCAATTTTATCCCTACTCTTTCCTTTCTTTGAATAATCAATTATATATCCCAATTAACCCAACCCTAAATCATTTATCATACATGGGAAAAACACCTTTCATTTCTTATTTTCAGGTAAACCTAGAAAAGGAAATAAAAAACTGGCTCCAAGTCAATTTCTCCATCCAGTTGGCAACTCCTAGCAACATTCAAAACACATCACCTTCATCCTTAAGGTCCTTATCCCTATTGCCTTCGATTTCTGATATCATAACTTCTCCTAATTACCTCGTCGCAAACGAACAAGGCCCAAGAGAACCATTATTTCTAGAAGAAGCACTTTTAGAGGAGAAGCTAAGATTTGAAACCCTAAACCAAATGCGTAAAGTCGGGTTACCGAAATTAGAAAACGAACATGATGCGATGACGAAAGCTATTCTATCCGTCTTAACTTCTTCTTTGTCTTCTTCATCTTCTGGCATGGTACATAACTCGGTTCCTTTGATTATAAGCCCTCGTGAGCCGAGTGGGTTTAGAAGCTACCACTCGGCTTTAGGCCCAGTGGGCCTAGTAACAACCGGTCGAAGGCAAAATATGTTCAAGAGATCCGTTTTGTTCTTTAGAGAATTGAACACGAGGAGAAGATGGGTATTGGGAATCGAGGAACGCGGGCCCACGGACAAGCATTTGCACCACGTGATAGCCGAAAAAAGAAGGCGGGAAAATGTGAGGCAGAGCTTTCAAGTGTTGAGATCAATGCTCCCTCCTGGTTCAAAGGTATACTTATATACACACATGTTACTATATATATATATATATATATATATATATATATATACTTTCACTTCTTGGAAAATAAATGAAACCAAATTGTATTTGGTATGGAATTTTAATTTTTATTTTTTTTTATTATGAAGAGTTTGATTAGTGTAAAGAAGATAATTTTTTTGTATGATTTCATTCTTTTACTAAAAGTATCACATTTCTATGGATTGAGATTAATTTCGTGTTCCAACTTTTTATTTAGTTTTGCGTTTCGTTCCATTGAATGCATGACTGGTGTCTATTATGACGTCATATTTGTACGTGTATGTCATGCATCCAACGGAATGAAACACGAGATAGAATATGAAAATCGAACAGGAGATCGAATAGTGTATCCGACATTTTTTGTCGATAAACATGGTGCAAATCTATTAAGGTTTTCGGGTTTCCTTTTTCCTACACGCAGAAGGATAATGCAACGGTTCTTAGCATGATCACCGAGTTCATAGACTCGTTGAAAACTCAAGTGGAACAACTCGAGAAAAGAAACCAGACGTTAGAGACACACCTCTCGGCGAATGTTCTAGAAGAATCCGAAGATCGTGGAACGAATGTGAAGATCGTACAAATTTCACAATCAACTACCGAATCAAGATTCTTGGACTTGAGAGTGTGGTTAAGATCGCGAGAATGTAGCTCGTCAGATTTGATGATTAGGGTTTTAGGGTTCTTGAGGCAGCTAAAGAATGTAAGCTTGGTGTCTGTACAATACTCCAATACCAGCATGGAGGTACCAAATTCAATGCATGGCCTACTCTTGAGATTGAAAATTGAGGTAAATTAAATTTATATTTGAATCAATTCATAATATAGTTCACATGTAGTATTCTAATACTGTGTGCCACATGTGTTTTATCCACTAAATACAATTGTTACTAAAAGGAAAAACTACTAAATTAAAGATTTGACCAGTCAAAACTTTTATTTTAATTATTTGGTAATTGATGGTTTGAAATATTAATTATTGTGATACAAAAATATAATTTAAAAAAAAAATCAAAATAGGAAGATTTAGGATTAGATGATTGTAATTAGCTGTTTTTTTTTTTTAACATATCAAACAACCAATTATTTACCAAATGCTTTACATAATCATCTTGTAAAATCACTTAATTAGTCAGAAACTGATAATTCAATCAGCTAGTCACTATTAACTAATTCAATCAGCCATCAAGTATCGTGCAAATAGGGTCATAATTTTCGAACAATGTTTGTGGTAGAAAAAAAATGTTGATCCTCCTTTTATTATCCTTTATATGTAGAGAGATGAATTTGACGAATCCAGTTTCCAGGAAGCAGTCAAAAGGGTTGTTGATGGCCTGCCACGTTGAGTATTTGACCTTTCTATCAAAAAAGGAAAAGCGAATGGATATTCCAAGTTTCAGTTCACATATGAGGTTTAATTGCAAATCTAATTTAGTGACATTTTTAGTTATATAAAAAATATCTGGATGTTACGTTATCTGACAATAGGTCACAATTTTTTGGTATTTTGGTAGTGTAGTTACAACATATTTTGGTAGTGTAGTTATATATAATTTGATTTTTGCTTATTAATATATAATTCATTGAATAGGCAACACAATAAAAATGATCAAGTATCATTGAACATTAATATGTGTCAACTAAGTTTTCTTCCTTAAATATCAACTGATGAGCATATTAACTCGTGGCCACCATGTACAGAAGAGCAGAACTCAGAAACACTACCAACTACATACACTTTTCACATTTCACGTAACCAAGTGCTTAGGGCATGATTGGTATTGAGTAAAAAAACAGTAAAAATCGATATTGATTGTACCTTGAGTTAATGTAAATTAATTTTAAATAAAATTGATCAAGTAAAATTTTAATTTTATATTTAAATTCTATTCAAAACATAATAATTAAAGTTGATGTGATCTAAAAATATGAAAGAAATTATTAGAAGTAATAAATAGTTACAACTACGTAAATAGACGAATATAAATTAAAACTTATATATATATAATTGCTAGCTAAGCAATAAATTTTACCTAATAAATAAAACCTAATAAATTTTACCTATGTGGCAAATCATTAATAAAACCTAATAAATTTTATTTATGTGGCATTAATACACCCAATCTCATTAATAAGAAAATATTTCATTACATTTCATGGGTTAATTAAGACAAAAACCATTATATTTTATGTTAATTGATAATAATTATATTTTTTATTGAATAATATAATAGTTAATATTAAAATTAGTAATTATATTTTATACTAAATAATATATGAAAGTTACATAAAATTATATTTTACACTAAAATCAATATTTTTTTATATGATGAGGATGTTGTTTATTAATAAAATAATTTTTTTTATGTCATAGTAAAATTTCTTAAAATCACATAAGCAATTGTTATAATAAATGTAATATTTTTCAGCTAATTAATTGGTCATGATCACTCAAAATTATAAAAAGTATATAGTTATTGCATTTTATGCAATCAATATAGTGATTCGTATACAATCAAATCGTGTGTACTATTTATTTTAACCAATGATCAAATTTTAAAACATAATACTATTATATAATTTATAATTTTAATAGTATATACATAAATATAACTTATAATACTATATGTTTGAAATATAATGCAATTATATAACTTATAATTTTTATATTATATACATAAATATAACTTATAATATTTAATTTTATTTACATCTATGCAAATGCACAGAGTCGAATACTAGTTGATTTGAATAGCATAAAGACAATTGAGTATTATTTAATTATATTAATAATACTAATAATTGTAGAGTTAATTTAAATTTGAGTTAAAATTTTAATTAAAGTGAATAAATCGATCATAACCTATTTTACTTGCATACATCTACAAGAGAATATCAGTTTTGACATGAGAAAATGCAGCTGAAGTCATAAACTGGGAACTTCACCATCAGCAACAGCAACAGTTAATCACTCAACTTACCGCCAGAACAGATACAAACCCAGTCACAAAATTTCAGTCTACACGACCTGAAACGGGCAACTAAAAGCTTAGATTTTTTCCGTGTATCTCCACTCGAAAAAAGTCAACCCCCCATGACCGACGAACATTGCTCGACAAAAGCCTACCCACATCAATTTTTCTTTGGCTTTTCCCCCCTAACAAGCAAAAATTTAGAGCAAACGGCATCAGAAAGATATATATTTTTTTTTTCTTGATCGGAAGTCATACCAACTAAGCCTCAACAGCAGTAACAACTTCTTCATCAGTCGTGTCAGACGAAGCAGCAGCCTCGTCAGCGGGACCCACAGAAGATTCATTCCCACTTTCAGACTCGGATTCATTCTCACTTTCAGGCTCGGTTTCAACCAGTTTCTCTCTAAGCTTACTTATGAGCTCGTTTCTTGCGCTTTCGTTTTCTGATAGGTATTTCTTGAGAGCTTCGTTGCCTTTAAAAGTTTGTCCCCCCAAATATAAAAATGCAGAGGCCTTTGTGATGAATTTGTGTTTGCATCCCAAGTTTATGAGTTCGGCCTCCCGAGAGATGCCGCGGCCGAACTCGAGCTCGAACTCGGCAGTTCTGAATGGTGGGGCGTGCTTGTTCTTCACGATTTTCACGGAGACTTGGCTTCCTATTGTCTGCACGACAAATGGGGTTGAGATGAATTTCGCTTTTTCGGGACAATGGACTCGAATTAAGCTTTTTAGATAATTTTCAAGGGTTAACAAAAATCAAGAATGTCAAATGACAAGCTTTTCCATCTCCTTCCATTTTTTGTTTTTTCAAGAAATGTAATTGTTAGATGTACGCATTAGTTTTGGAGAGGATTTGGAAAAAGGAGAGAGTGTTTTGCTTTCATTCACATGTTTAAAGGGTGTTCGGGATATGAGTTGCTGCATTCTAAGTTAAAATTCTTAACGAAGAATTTGTGATGCGGTCATTGTAATATTCAAACTGTGAGTTCGTTAAAGAACTCGTATCCAGATAATATATGGTTAGACTCCAGATGTTCTTTCTTTTGTGGAAAAAGGAAAAATAAAGTTTATGAGTAACGTTAATAACGGAACATTTTTAGCAACAAGCATTGGTAAGCCAACAACGGAACAAGATTATTTAGGTCAATTCAAATACTCTCAATTAATAATTAAAAAAAAAGAAGAAGAATTCAGACTCGGGCTTTCACATAATCCAAAGAAATATGAGCAAGATCCGTACCTCGTCACCCTTCTTGACCAGCCCAGTTCTCCTAATATTAAGACGTACGGAAGCATAGAATTTCAAGGCATTTCCACCACAAGTAACTTCGGTGGGACCACCAAATCCAAAGGTGGATAGTTTTGCCCGCACCTACAATTAGATGTAATTCGTTAGTGAAAAATACAAAGAAATAGTCCCGATTTCTGTATACAAATCTTGTACTATGACCTTAGATTGACACTCTGATGTATTTCCAGATTTCATTTCAAAAATGCTTTTGCCAATATGGAAAAAATTATAAGCAGCAGAAAGCAAATGGCATCAGTTTAATGTATAAGGCTATAGTTTCATGCATATATCTCCAGAAAGGTATGTCCGTATTAACACCATTAAAATTAGGAAAACCAGCACATACATATATAGGGCAATATGGATGCAAAAATATCTAACAATTAAATGCGACAAAAACTAGTATATCTACAGCTCATGCCTGATTTGTGAATATCAATATTGTCTGAGAAAGAGATAACGAGTGGCTCAATTTACGAAGTGCTTGACTCATAAGTCTTGCTTGCATTGCCATGTGTGCATCTCCCATTTCACCATCAAGTTCACCTTTAGGAACCAAAGCAGCCACCTACCAAGAAAAATCAAAAATAAAATGCGGATAAGAAAATGATGTCAATTTACTTAGTTCATACAATGCCATGGCAAAATCATATATCTTACTTACACTATCAACAACGACAACATCTACTGAACCACTCCTAATTAGGGTATCCACCAGACTTAGAGCTTGCTCACCACAATCTGGTTGTGAGAGAAGCAAATTTTGGGTGTTTACTCCAATAGCCTCGGCTAAAGATGGATCGAGAGCATGCTCAGCATCAACAAAAACACAATAACCTGTGTAGGACAAAGCAAGTATTAAAAAACCAGTTCAGGCAGAGCCAAGATATCATTTCCACTAAAAACAGAAAGACTTTCTTGCAATTGAGAAGGTTTCTTCTACAATTACTTACATTTGATAAGCTCATCATAATTTTTTACAAGTATGTTAATTTAAGAAGAGTTTCTCAATAACTACCAACTTAGTTTACAAGCATCAGCATCTCAACAAGACGGAACAGATGATACTTCTTTCTAAAGTGAAAGTCGGCGCTGAAAAATATTAACACACTGAGAACAATCTGAAAGAATTAGTAAACCGTACATATTATGTTACTTAAAATTAGAATACCGGAATTTCGAGGGACAAAAGATAGCACATAATGTAGGTCAGAAGAACAAAGCCTCTAAGAAGAGTAAATATGATATCGATGACTAACCGCCTTGTTTTTGTGCCTCAGCAATAACATGCAACGCAAGAGTAGTTTTTCCGGAAGCTTCTGGCCCATATATCTCCACAACACGTCCCTGGTAGAACTCTAAAATGTCTCAAATCCAAATAAATACATATACCAGAAAGACTGTCTAACAATGTAATTCTAAATCCTAATTTTTAATAACTATACATGTAGCATAGACTAAGATACATTTACCTACTTACCTGCAATTACAAAGAAAGTTTGCACTTAAGTATCAACGCATAAGTTCAACAATAGTAATAGTCCAGAGAAAAGTTTCATCTAATGATATCTGAAACAGTTCAATAGAAGCATGATGAACTGCATATTAGCTAAAGTCTCAGCTCATAGTACTGGACTAATATAAAATTTTTAAGATTTGCCAGACAACATAAGAGCATGCTGGTGTAACTCAAACAGAACATTGAAGATTCAAAATCTTTACTCATTCACAAGTATAATTGCCATCTCTCAAAAAGTTAAACTACACAACATGTCTCATTAGTAGATTGAAAATCCCACCATTTCGTACAAAAATATTTCACATAGCACTGTAAGATACCTTAGGAAGTCCTCCTATTCCTAAAGCAATATCCAAAGCAAATGACCCAGTAGACACCACTGGAATATTCTTATAAGAAACTGTACGACCAAGCCACATAATGGACCCTTTCCCAAATGATGCTGTGATTTGATCCAAAGCTTGCTTCAGTGCTAGATCTTTCTTTGACAAATTTTCTTCACCAGAGTCACTCGCATCTGATTTTGTTTTCTTTTTACCTACAGATAGATTTAATTAAAAAATTAAGCTTTCATGAACCTTTCCAACAGAAGCCATTAAGCTATATGCTGAAACTCAATGAAAATATAGAAAAATAACACTGAAGCAACAACAAACTGGCACTTCTAAGGAAAAAAGATCATTGATTACAAGAATAGGTAGATGATCCTTATTGAGAAGTCATAAATGAAAAATGCATCATCAACAACTCATAAAATATGCAGAACCCTTTTCACATGGTATGAAGGGTCATATTACAAGCTTAACAAGATAGTCCAATGGAGGACTAGCAATCCATCTACCTGATGATAGATATTAATTGCCAAAATTCATATAAATATATCATAGAAGTAAAAAGATCAATAGAGATACCCACTTCCCAGAGCTTAAAAGAGTAATTGTGATCCAATTAATGGATAATTAATCAGAAGAGAAAGCAAGCTACAAACAGTAATGGAGAAATCCAACATAAAAGAAAATGTATGGTATACCACATAATATAAGGCTCATCTGAAAGAACAATCCAAGAGAATTAGTAATATACACGAGACTATAGTTTCTTTAACCACGTTGTTCCTGAATACAAGAGATCAATACCGCTCTACCAAAAATGTGAAACAAAGCTACTAATACACACACAAACACAAACTACAAGGGGATAAAGATATGAGTAATCTAAGAAAAAATATGTCGGCAAGCCAATTAAGCAGATGAGATGGAAGCAAGCAAGAAGAAAGCTTTTAAAGAAGCCTATGACAGTACCTTTAGCAGAAAAGTTGCATAACTGTGTAGATGTACCCAATAAACCCCTCATAGGTTCCTGAAACATCAATAAAACCAATATAAAAAATTATTTAGTTGTGCAACCATGAACCAACAACCATTCCCTAACACCCCAGCCAATTTTAGCCCCATCCTTTCTTTCCTTTTTGACATACCAAACAACTAAAATGTGTCCATAGACAGATAAATTTACCCCAAAAAAGGAATCCACCTTCACACTTTGTCTTTGTAAAATGTCATGATAACAATCATTTTCGGTCGGTTTACAATTTCCCCCATCAATAAGTTCATTCCCCTCACTTTTCAAGGAAAATACACACGAAAAGAACAAACAAATTAATAAGTCTATGACTCCAACTCTCCAACCAAACACAAAACTTCCAAAAGAAGGAGAAGAGCAACAAGCGCGCGATAACACACACACACACATACACGAACGACCACTTGCACACATATACAGACCCAAAAAAAAGAAAACCTTAAACGAAGACAAAAGAAACAAACAAACAAACAAACAAACAAACAAACAAAAAGTCAGAGAACTTGTCGCAAGAAAACAGGGCTAAGCATAAAAAAAGCAAAAACCTGCAATTGGGGCAACAGGGAGCGTCTCAGAGACGAAGCGTTTCGGAGGAGCCTCGCCATTTTTTTTTTTTATTATAGTTCAAAAGGGACTAACTTTGAACTCAAAAAGGTCTCTTCTTTTCAACAAAAAAACAACAGTCCAGTTTTCACCCACTCAAACAGCAACCCTTTTCGAAGCTATGGATACCCGTGCGAAATTTCTCACAGCACGAATTGCATAGGCTCGGGTCAGCAATTGGTATACGCTTAACTGTGCTTCATATTCTAGTGAGAGAAACAGGGACACGTAGGAAATGAGTTTGTTTTGGAAATTGGAGGGTTGATGTGTGTTAGGGTTTATGTGTGTTTCCCTCCCTTTTCTAACTTTCTTTTACGGAGGTACTAGTAAGTCACCTGCGCAATTCGCGGCATGATGTTAAAAAGAAAATAATGTTAAAAAAAATTTGGTTCTCTTAATTTAAAATAAAAAAATGCTATTGCATATAAAATAAGAAGGAATTTTTTTTTTTTAATTACATATTCTAGAACACTTCTTTAAATACAATATGAGTAGTAGAAGAACCAGACTCATTATCACTGTCACCATCATAAATTACAATTTTTAGACCATTGGGATCATTGTTTTTTTGACCCGGACCAGCCCGCGCGGGTCGACCCGGAGCCGAAACTGGTCCGGGTGGGCTATTTGGACTGGGTAACGATAGAACCGGTCAAAACCCGGTCGACCCGGGTCAACTCGGTTGACCCGATCTCTATAAATTTTTTATTTTTTTAATATTTTTTATATAAAAAATAAAAACTATGTAAATATAATGATATAGTAAATATTTATTGTGAGAATATTATTAACACTTAAATGTTCAAATTTTGTATACAAAATATTTATTTTTGTTACTTTTATGTATATTTATATGCCAAAAATAATATACATATAATTCTAAAAATTTTAAAATTAATTATCCGGTTCAGCAATTGACCCGGTGACCCGGAGACTTGCCCGGGTCGATTTTCAGGCCGGGTTTAAAAACTATGATTGGGATTCGTTACTCTAGAAACAACAACATATAACTGTCCATGACTAAATACAGGTTTCTTCAACAACAATCCCACGCTGGACAAAAATTAACCTTGACTCTTACTGATAGACATTGCGTAAGACACCATAATTAGAAACTGTCATCGCTGACAGTTGAGTGGAAGTCTCGGATTTGAAGGCCTCAATGACATTCTTGGAATAAGAACCTTCTGACGTGAACATTCTGCTCCAAGGACTTCACCCTCTATAACATGATTTCCAAATTTCGTGACAATTGATCGAGTTCCATTGCACAAACCAAGAGAAGGATCAACATTGCGAAGCAGCATTATAGGTGTCCCGATTTTTAAATTTAACTCATGATTTGGGACGCCACTTAATTGAATTTAGGAACTCTGGAGTCCGGATATCATTAACCACACTTATATTATTATCAGAATGACAGGGAGAATCGGAACTCAAATATCTTTTTGCCTCCGAAGCATTTAACAAAACCATGTAATCATACCCGAGTTAACCACATCCAAAGTTGGAGCTAATATAGCTCTTTCCAGGAAATAAGAATGATCATCCGGGTTAGTTCGAAATGTTGGAAAAACAGTGTCAACAACTGCTACGATCGGATTGTCAAATCCCTTCAACCAAAACTCATCATAAATATTAATATTTGAATAATCATTAACAGAGTTCACCACATCCCTTAAAAAACGACCTTGCAAAAAAAAAATAATAAATGAATGAAGCATTGTACTTTTTTTAAACAAAATAATATATTAAATCATTATACTAAAAATAAAAAATACCATTTTCAATATTTGACAATGGAAATGCATTTGTCTCATTCAGAATAGTTCTCCTTGATTCTTCTACATAACAATGTCTTGATAATGTCATTTCATTTTCATCATCTCCTAAAATAAAATCATCATTAACAAAAAAATTATATTGAAATACGAACAATTGAAGTTTAAAATTTAATTATAAGCTAATTACAAATTAAGAAATATAAATTAAATTAAATTCAATTATGAGCTAATTAAAAATTAAGGATTATAAACAAAATAATTAGAGTATCTCCCAGTTTGTTAAAAAATGGGTTATAAGTCGGATTAATAGACGTTGGGATTCAAAAGACTTTTCCATTACAGTAATGTGAATATGAGGTGACACGTATAATTAGCATTCTCAAATTTTATTGTTCACAATTTATTACTTCTTAATAAATGATATAGCCACATCGCATATCTAAAAAAATATTAAATTTTTCGCTGATAATAAAAAAAATGAATAATATAAAATTTATAATTTACAGCTACATCAAGGAAAGCATATTTTTAAATTAATTTTTAGAATATAAAATATATTTTTTTTTTTCGAAAACTTATACAAATGGTTAGGTTTTTATTTATAGATAAATAAATAATACTAAGTTATTTATCAAAAGGTTTTTTCGCTACCTAACATCACATAAGTTTTTTTGAATATCCAATACCAATTTGATTTACTATAGGAAATTATACGGTTAGGCAAAAATATTGATGAATCTTGTTAAAAATAACTCAGTAAAAACATATACACAATAGAAAAAAAGATTTTAACACGCAGGTACTAATCCATACAACATATAGAAAAATATAAAGAATAGAACTTGCTTTTTTTTTTTTCTCCCTAATTTTGTAGTCGCAAATATTTTCCTCGCTCAAAAATCAATAAATCTGCTCAATTAAAAACTACGTAGATTTTCCCATTCCACATGGATTTAATTTCTAATCGCCTTAAACCTGCTCAAGCAAAAAACATGCATAATCACTACAACCACAGACATTAAATTTACATTCACCCTAAATTTGCTCAAGCATATAACCGCGCAATTCGCAGTCATTTTGCAATGGCAAGGTGTTGAAGGACATATAATACAGTCAACTTGTGAATACCAAATTGGAACGATTTGTTTCAATAAATTTGGCCGCATATTTTCTGAAGGTAAAAAATTATTTTTATTTGTACCTTATTTGTTTATAGGCTCTACTTATTTGTTTTTATTATTATTTTCTATCTATATATGAATCACATGTATATAGACATTAAACATGTCAAAACAGACCAACTGGCGAGCCGACCTGCAGCCCGTTAAACATCATGAAGGGGCCTGGGCCGGCATACAAAATGCAGGGCCAGCCCACTCCCTCCGTGGACCACGGGCTCGATGGTCTGGCCCGTGAAAATNTAATTTACAGAATATACAATTTTTATCAATTCTTGAAACAAACCAAAAACTCTCTTTATCTCTTTATTTCTTTGGTTTGACGAATGTATATACAAATTACAGACGGCGGTCATCCTCCTTCCAAATTCACAGACGTGCAATGCCCCGTTTATTTATGAATAATTTTGGGATTATTTATTATTATTTTTATTATTATTTATTGTTTATTATTATTATTATTTTATTATTATTATTATTATTATTATTAAATGTCTAATTGTCTTTAAACGTCTAAATGTTATTATTATTAATTAATTAAATGGTGTATTATATATATATATATATAAATGTGTTCCAGTTTTATATAAAATTGTCGTGCAAACGAACCGAGCTATATTTAATTGCTAAGTCGAGCCCGAGCCGCAAGTTAAACCCGCGCCCCGGCCCGAGAGAACCACGCCCCAGCCGACCCGAACCGGCGCTTTGAACCGACCCGGGTTTTCTCTCCCCTTTTTGTGTGTGTGTGTGTGTGTCTTGAGGAGCAAGACTTGTGAACCCTAGCCTATTTTATTAAACCGATCAATCTGTTCTCCTCTCCCTCACGTCAAAACACGCTCGCAGCCTTCCCTATCCCTTTCCCTCTCGTTTGATCGCACAGCATATCAGAGAAGAGAGAAAAATCTCTCAACCCTCTCCTTCACTCATCCCTCGCAAACCGATCGCCACCTCTTCCGTCGTCGCGCCACCGCTCATCGTGAATCAGCAGGCCTCACCCCTGCGTCGCGTAGCAACTTTCGACAAGCTCTTCCCTCCGCGAGCAGGCCCCACCTACCCGATCGTCACCGACCTCCTCCACGCGCAGACGACCCCGCAGCGACTCTGCAACCCTCCTCCGGCGATCTATGTTCACGTGCAGCAGCTCCGGCGAACCTCTCTTCGCTGCTCGTCCATCGGAGCACCCCCAGCGGCGAGCATAACCGCCGCACGGTGCCTCCACGAGCCGCTCCTCAGCCGCTGTGCTCCTCCGCGAGTCGCGCGTGAGCCGCCGAGCGCCGCCTTCGACGTGCCATCCTCCGTCGTTCGACCCTTCCTTACGTATTGTTTCCCGAAACGGTACAAAGTCTCGAACCCCGTCTCGTTTAATTATGTATTATGTGTATTGTGTTGTATTCTTATAGCCTTTATATTATTTCATGTTATGATTTGAAATAATAAAATTATGATTTGAAATAATAAAATCATGTGTTGAGATCTATTGTCGGTTCGTGCGAACTAGAATGAGACCTCGTTAAATCTGTGTTAAGTACTGTGGAATTGGAACCATAATGAGTCCTTGGCCTGATGGTGAAGGCCTCGGACGATTTCGATGTTTGTCGAGTCGAATATGATTTTGTGAACTCGAATAGTTGCTGTTTATGTGTTAAATTCGTGATAAATCACATGCTGTTCCGATTGATATAAAATTTTGTGTGTTAAGTCCTCTGATGTTCATATAGGCCGTGTAAAAATTTCATGGTTTAGATTCAACTGTAGCTATTTTTAATAATTGTTGTGATTTATGGGCAGAATCTTGTAAATTGCATAATAAATAAATTTGTACTCAAATTTGGCTAAAATTTGAATACGATGTCTCTCTGTTGTATTTGGATGTTGTATAAAAATTTCATAATTTTTGGACTTCGTTTGCTAGGGTAATTAATTGTTTGTGTTATTCTGCTGAAACTCGTTTTATTTATGAAAATTTGACCTGTTTCTGTAAATTACTAAATTTTGGTTTATGTGCCTATTTAATGATGTTATGCGTGAGGAAAAATCCCCAGAAGTTTTGGAGTTCATATTAGTACGGTTTTGGTGAAATGTTGAGTTCTGCAGAATTTTGTTACAATTTTCATAATTTGCATGTTTAATTTTTAAAACTGAAATTTTTGTATGTCGATATTCTCATGCTGAAGTTGCTTGTGTAAAAATTTCAAGTGTTAACTCGCTCATTTTGTCAGGTTTTGAAATTGTACTCGTTTTTGCTGAAAACTTATTTGAATTTTATAAAATCGTGTATTTTGAGTTAAGGGCTGAAATTTGGTGATGTTACTAAGTCCAGTGATTGGATTTTATGTAAAAATTTCAGAGCC